TACTTACTAATCAGTGGGATTAAAACGTGATTACCAAACCTAACTCTTGTATGTCATATCAAAACTGCAAATAGCTAAATCCTGTTAGTTCTTTTTTCCGATTAAATATTCGAAGATAATTCACATTCACAAACTGACTGTATGCAGATAACCATCGAAAGCCGGAAGAAAATGCACAACTATTTCGTTATAATGATGATTCGACAATTGCTTTGAGTTAGAAATCCGAATGATTACATTCTGTCTAAGCGATCTGAAGATAACAAGACGTTTTTGAGATCTGGAGTTTATGTGTTCAGTCCTTGTTGTGGGGAGGAATGCTTACTATTAAAGAGTCTCAAACTAGGATGAAATAACTAATCAGCACTCTATACTTATATCTGTCAACATAAGTAACATACAGCATATACCTAATTTTAATTTTGTCATGAAATACTTAAATTGACCAGCTTAGTGAGTCTAATATTAAAAAATTGTTATTCAAGTTAATATGTTCAATTAGTAAACAGATCAGTTTTCATGTGATGATATTAACATTTGTTGAACCATGAAACTGTATTACTAATCCGTGAACTATAATCTTATTATTATTATTTTGATTAAGTTATTATGTAGCATATTCGTTAGGGTTTGACAAGTATTTATTGAAATGTTAGTTCAGTAGACCTCAGCCATAGAACTAATTACCATAAAATAATACAATATTAATGATAACTGAACTTTAATCTTCTTAAAACGATTGTCTACATTAATGAACATTTTAAGGTCAAATAATATTTGAATCCGATTAAGTATCAATGGAGTTCACAGGCAATGATTATGATTATTTCATGTTATTTAGAATTGACATGATCACACAAATTAAGATAATAGACGGTCTGTCTGTCTTTACTGACAAACTGTCTGAATTCGCCACATCCATGCGTATTTGCCAATTCAACATCTCGTGTGGATCCAGTTATATAGGGCGTACAGTTCAACAAGTCCGTCATCACATACCAGACCACCATCCGTCTTGGTTGATCAAAGGACAGGTAAAAGTGATTAAGAGATCTATTCTCACTGACTTGGTCATCAATCTGACTTGAATAAAGCTTTTAAGGTTATACATCATATTCCATCAAATTCACCACAGTTGACGAGTTCTTCTTTCGCACATTGTTGAAGCTAGCGGAATCCATGTTCACAATCCTAACCTGTGCATCCAATAGAAGTTTGTACAACCACTCTTGCTACCTTGGGCCATCGGTATAGCAGTGGGTTTTTAGCTGAACCTTGATCAAGCCCTTTCCTTCAAAGATGTCTAAACGATTTTCCAAAATTCATCGTTTGATTCTTACACAACTACTATTACAATAACCTTTCACCAAATATTTAGTTAGTTCCTTCTTCTTATATATTATGCAACTTAGCAATTGTTTGATTTTTCGAGTATTCACCTTCCAGTTATTATTTTATAGTCAATGTGTCATTATATAATTATTACGTAACGCGACTACTTGATGATTACTTCCCGAAAGAGGCATAAACGACATAAAATGTGATAAAAGTCGAAATACACTCACGTTATCGCAGCAGCTATCTCCGGTGAGTCGTCTGTGATAATCCAAACCAACTCTTGATCGTCAGTTGAGCACCCGGAGAATGACAGAAATCGTGACAGCCGTGCCGACGTCTCACGACGTTTAGTGGCTATGAAGACAAGTATTGCCATTGAGTTCATGTCCGAAGCCACAATTTCATAAAAAAACAATTTTTAGGTACAGTCAAAACTAACAACGTTAAGGATACGACGTGTCAAATCGATCTGATCGGCAGTTGAAAAGAAAAAATACTGAAGATCATTTTCTTAATCTATTTGATACTCAAAAAACCCACCAAATGACGTGATGTGAGCTTACATTTTGCCATAATCACCTACCATTCATGATATTATTAGGAACATTACTTAACTGGAATGCTGACCTGTGGGGGCACTTTATTGACGCATATTAAGTACATCTTCAGGATTCAGACTATTCCCATGAGATTGGTACACAAACTGTACAGCATTGAAAGCTGCTGTCCTCGAAAACAGAAGAGGTCGGATGGTTCCGAACTTCAAGTCAGTTGGCATGAGCATCCATGAATTATTTTTGTACCTCAGGAAATTGAATTCATGATCGTGATACACGTTACTTCGAACAACAGTTCAGTAACGTTCAATAAATTTACAGCAAATGAAGGCAGGATGCTGAAAGTTAATTGCAGCCCTTCAGGAAAAATATAATAACATTAATCAATTTGCCTGATCGGTCTAGTAAGCTGTGCGGATACACAGGCTATTCTACGACCATTTCTTCAACACAAATATTATATACAGGTTCTTATTCTTATGGAAATAGAATCACGAACCGCATTATGTCAGTATGTTTTTCTTTCATAATCTCTGATAACGTTTTCTAACGCCTCAAGCAACTGGAACGCTACCAGAACAACGTATTCAAGAACGCATTATCTGTTTTCGTTCACAACGTTGCAATATTTACATTTTAAATTAGACTTCAGAAAATAACTAATAATTACCATTTTAAAACTGATCATTTTATTGGACAAAACGGGATTAAAATCAGATAGGATAAAAGTATCTTTGATTGAACTAAACTACAAATGTCACCGTGCTCTAAATGTGATATTCACTATGTAGTAATGTGTAGTGACAATAAAGTGATCTCAACTAGTGATATACATTTTAATCGATCATAACTTTTCATTATCAGAATGTAAGATTATAGAAGACCTGTTACAGAGCAATGCCAGTGAAGTCCTACCCACTGCCTTCTCGCGGGATTACTGTTGTTTACGAAATTGAGAGGACAAAAAGTGAATGTCTGAAGCTTTAATCGGATTGTTGGGTACTGAGGATCCACCTAGGGAAGTTGGAAAACTATGATTCCAAACCAATGGCGCACATTGGCTCCAGGATCCTGAAGGAACAAATGGCGTATGAACCAATTGTTGGTCACCGTGGGAGTGAATCTCCTAACGTTGCTCCACTGCCGTATGGATCAGATTTTTAGGTCGAAGGCTCCAGGAGCTACCACCTCAGGAAAGTATCTGCCTTGGTTTGGGAACCCGGGTAGTATTCCAGCCCTCACACGAGTTGAATAATCAAGTGTGGTGCATATATATCTAGTACTTCCTTGTACCAATGCTTATGTGTTTAAATGAATAAATAAAGTAATACATGTCTTGCCTTACAAAAGTTCCGTAACCGATGGCAAATAGTTTTTAATACGCAAACTCTGTAAAAGGAGGTCAAGAGTTTACAAATAAATACATAGAGCAAATACCTGTCCGGGAAATTTATACATCAGTTCAAGTAAACATGAGTATTTATCGTAAGTTGATTTTTTTTTCAGGCTTTAGAAAAAAATTAGCCTACTTGTTAACGTTTCTTAGTGTAATACTGGGTGACGGTTCGACTCTCATGGGGGAGTATTAGTTCCCTCAAGTTTGCAGATCCCCCACCTGATGATGAGTGCCAACTAGCACGAAGTAAACACTTAGGTCCTCTCGCCCACTCTCTCCACACATCTAACATCCAGATATGGTACATGAAGTTTCGAACCGCCCAGACCAGTAATATTGTAACTGGAACAATATATTTCTACAGTTTAACTGAACAAGACTGATTGATACCGATCGATATAAGTGTGTAGGTAAGACTACAGATGAATACTTTATTACCCACAAACTGATCAGAAACCATTTGAACAATATAATGAGTTATCTCAGATTTATTTTATTGATCAGTAGTCAAATCTAATACTGGTTAGGATTCGGGATAAATTAATCAATAATTCAATGTATGTATACAATCTACAATATTAACAGACTATCTCCTTTAGGATATAAATATAGCTAAATCACTGAGTTACGTATTTACTCCTTCGTAAAAGTGACTACATTGTGATTGGTCGAAACGATTAGATCAACAGTGATTTGTAAACCAACACCTCACTGGTTACTAATGAGTGATTCATCAATATACATAATTTTGCCTATTTATCCTATCATATATATAAGTGAAGACAGTTCTATTGTATGGAGTTCAAACTCCGAGAACTACCACAATCATCATCAAAAACGTACATGTATTTATATACAGATGTCCACTCAATATACTCTAGATCCGTTGACTAGACATTAACAACAACAATCTACTGTGACAGAGAATAAAGCGAATTCCAGTTAAATAAAAAATTAAGAAAATTGGTTAACACATATTGAAGAAATCCCCAAATTGGATTACGATGCAAGCTTTAATTCGAAATCCTCAATGTAAATTTGATAGAGATGGCCAACGGAACGCACTACACAAAGAAATGGAATTATATATCCAAAGAATAAATAGAACTTGACAATAACTGGAAAGAAGAGCCTAAAACAGTGAGTTGAATGTTGCTACTTGACAGCCTATGCTCTATGAAGGGTAACAGACTTAAGTAAGTAATATGTTAATAAAATTATATCTTGATTCAAAATTTTAAAAAATTTTAATTATTATAATGACCTGTTGTCAAAGTTACTTGTTCCATATTAATTAAATAATACGACATTAGTAAATCACGCGACCATCGTTCAATAGTTCACTAGATATGCGTGTTGAATGTTTTTTGTCGTTGTTGTTGTTATTACTATTATTATTATTATTATTATTATTATTATTATTGTTGTTGTTGTTGGTGGTGGTGGTGGTGAGTGAGTGATTGAGTGAGTGAGTGAGTGAGTGAGAAAAACAACCAATAAAGCACTTACAAACATTTTTTTGCGATTTCGTTGGTAGTTTGTTTTTTCTTGTTCTTATCGTTAAATACTCGAAAATTTTCATGATCAGTTAGAAAAAAAGATAAAAAAAAACAACAAAAATCATATCAATAATGAGCTATTGTATAAAATTGACAAATATTTGGATTATTATTATTTTAATCATTCTATGTATATTCATTAATTTATTTATGTTATTAGAAGCAAACTTAGAATATCGTATACAAAATGGTTATCCAGTAAATCCTGGTGAATTTCCAATGATTGTATTATTACTTGGTAATACACATTTATGTACTGGAACAATTATAGCACCTGATAAAATTTTAACAGCTGGACATTGTGCATGTGGTGATCCAACATATGAAGTAGGTAGGCAAGAATAAATTTTTTTATTTATTTATAGATTATGATAAACATTTGTATAATAATTTTAATACAATGAATAAATGATAGTTATCAATGTATAAGATGTAGAACGAAACATGCGTCCTGGATTCCACTACTAGTCACAATATATCTCTGCTTATAATGCTTGTGAATTGGTGACAATATCGAGGCAATCCAAACAGGATGTGCATATTCTAAAACAGACTGATCAATTGTAGTCGTAAGCATTAATGGGAAGATTCCAGCAACTAATACAAATAGGTTATACATCATGAATACTTGTTTGTCAGTAATAACAATCACGTAGATTATATTAACTTACAAATTTCAACTACCTCTTCTCCTAGATTTAGATACGTACATTCTTCATACTATATAACTGCAAAGCTGCTGGTTTATGTCATAGAGATCCTACAAAAACTATCTATAAATAAAAAGTGTTATATTTGCTGCTCACCACTGTTTTACCTAGGGTCGTCCCCATTGCTATGTTTGCGTATCGTGGCTTTTATTGTACATGCTTGGTCTGTGATTTTACTGCTTATATTTAACAATCAAGAATTACTGCAATTCCACTATCCTACTACTCATACTTTGAAGCGGAAACCACTTCAGTTACTACGGCTCAAAATAAGAACACGAAGGACTGGTGAGATGAATATATATATATATATATATATATATATATATATATATATATATATATATATAAACTTCGTATATTGGAGTAAAACCTTATGAAGGTCTATATGAACGTAATGGTAGGAATTACTCAAACCAACAACAATTTGTTTGAAACTTCTCAGAAAATTACAGCAACAAAAACCATCCACAGAATGATTCGTCAAAATAAACTTACAATTTTGTTTTAAGTATGATATAATTAAGCTATTCAATTAACATTTAATGAACATTATTTTAACACTAGTTAATTTATCATCATACTGAAAAAAACTTCATAAATACACTTTCATCAGTAATAACCACCAACTAACGAATGATTAACTTTAAGATGAATTTCTATGCGTCTTAGTAAAAAACCGTGACCCATGAAGTGAATAATATCGTGAATGTGACAGATATCTCAGATAACATTGAACGATGACTGCTTTGTTGCAAGTTGAAATTATAAACTATTGGATTCCAACTCACTTGTTCAAAGCTATTTTGATTATTCGAAGACTTAAAGATCCTCAATCTAATTGTACATAAGTTATGTGTATGTGTACACTGGGGAGGAATCCTAAACTAGGTCAAACAATTTATTTATTCAATACTTCAAAGTGTTCATTGGTTAAATAATCGATTTCAGTTGATGACAAAAAATCTTGTATCTATATCCACTGTTTAAAGTAAATAACAACTCATTAGAATGAAATAATTCATTTATCTAGAAACTAAAATATTAATTTGTAGAGTTATTTTACCATTCTTACAGCTTTACTATGATTGTAACATATTTGAATTGTCTCATGTTTCTATTTAAAACAAATCCATGACGATAGTAAAAGTTTTATGCATTAAATTTTAGTAATGTACTGTCTAAACTAAGTACTTTGTGTTTGATAAGCTTCTGTATCAATATTACATAACAGTGCCTTGGCGGCCTACTTGAATAGCTAGGCTACTTGTTCCTCTCATCTAGATATTTCAACAAATTATCTGTTTTCATTTGTTTTAATATATCATTATCCATAATCTATTCAGGTGCGTTTATGAAAAGTTTACAAACTTTCTCTGTACAAATTACAAAAAAGTACAATTAACAACATTGTGGTTGCTGGTAATATGTATTGAAAAGAATAAACATTATTTAGATGTCGATTCCTGAACTGCTAATATCTAACTGAAGACCACTCAATATGTTATCGTTAGGATTGATCAAGAAATAAGAAAAGGAAACTTGTAGAAATACTCTGTGCCGAGAATTCCATATTGTACCAAAAATATAATATTGAATAAAGCCATTAATAATAATAATAATAATAATAATGTGATCTTTAGGATAATCTCCTAACAATGAACTTAAAAAACTGACCGTATGAATGAATTTTTTTCAAGTATTTTTTCTCATAAACCACTGTGGAATCTATTCCTCTGAAAATCATGCATTTAACTTGATGAATTATCATAATTTTCTAAAATGATTGGTTTATTCAACTCTAATATTCATAACTGATAATCAATTATTAATGTACTACATTTTCATAGCGTTTTTATTTTGTTCTTCATGTCCCCATCTTTTCAATTCAATACTTTAGTTGACTGCATAATTATAGTTGGGTTCAATCGAAAATATGTAGAATAATATTAAAGATTTGAAGGAATTTTAATTTTTACATTTGAATTCACAAGTCAATCTAAGCTAGACCACCATTGAAAACTTGGAAGCATTGGGCGATCGTTTTTTCCTAGTATGAGACTCCTCAACAGTGCACAGCCACAACCCTGCACGCGGAATTCGAACCCAGAACCTTCAGTCTCATGTGAGAACACTTGACTTCTAGACCATACTGAGCCAGCATCCAAAGGTGTTATTGTTTAACTTCAATTGATTCATGATCTTGTGTAATCCTCCATCCATTGTCTGGTGTAGAGAACTGTCTCATACCTGACACGGATTGAACTCCACTGGTCAAGGCTTCTCTTTAGAACTCCAAGAAATCCATCTTGAATTTTAACTCTTTAGTAATAGATAAACATAAGTTTCAGCGTTTTTACTTCATGACCAATTAGTTTCTTATAAATGTATTTATTATACTCAATCACTACGTATTTAGTTGTAAAACATTAGTTAGTAAACAGATCAGGTTAAAAATTATAGGCTCTCCATTTAGCATCCACTATATATTTATAACCAAGACTACAAAACTATAGAACCTCTTCTACAATTAAGTTTGTTTACGACTAATTTTGTCCAGCTCTTTTATTGACTTATCTAACAGTGTTATTAGAACAGTAACAATTTGTCTGTCTTTGTATTATTATTATTAATATCTTGTTTGTATGACATGTAGGATTGGTTACATGTGACAGCCTAGTCATATATCTCTCTCTAGCTTATACGTTAGTTACTTACCTATCGCTCGACGAATGATTCGCTTTCCATATGTAGATATGCTTGAATCTAATTAATTGATTCGCTTCGATCCGATTAGATTTGACTCTGAATCCGCCTCTGCACTCGGTTGCTGGCACGCATTAGCCTTTCTGCTCAAGTTCACTTGGTGTGTTTGAAACTTTGTTATCTGCGCTATCCAATTATAAACTGTAATCGGTGCATCAGGTTGCCTTCTAAATTCATACACCGTCGGGATTTATTTAATGATGATTGTTAGGGTGATTGACAAATGAAGCCTAAGGAATTATCTCAAAGCCATACCACTATAAAACTAAAATGATAAATTCTACTTCTTTTCTTAATCTCTTCAATTAATTACTATTTTTCTCACTTTCAACTGATTGATCACTAGGTAGTGATTAATGTCATGTATGTCATATCCTTCTTAATGCAGATTGAATCCTATCGACCAAGTTGCAATGTAACCATCAGTCTAGGTGACTCGATATTGTGTGCACTATGTTGCGATAAGATAATGGTTGGAGGTAGTCATCAGGAAACCCTGGATATAGGTTTCGTGATACTCATTGCCTTCTCGCGGCAGGGGTGTTGTTTACGACGTTGCTCTACTGCCATGTGGATCAGATTTGTAGGTCGAATGTTTCGGGTGTTACACCCTAAGAAAACCACCTGCTTCGGTTTAGGCACCCGGGCAGTATTCCAGCCCTCACACAAATTGAATAATGAAGTGTGGTGCATATATATTTGGTATTACCTTGTACTAATGTTTGTGTTTAAATGGTGGTCTAGGTTCAATTGACTCAATTATTGAAATTACTACAATCTCCACAAAACCCCTTTTGGTTCTGATCAACATATGCTCACTAGCGACTGACTTCAAGAGGTATATCCTGGAGTTCTAGTGAGATCAGTGGAGTTCAACCGGGTCAGTTGTCAGATAGTAACTCAGTGATGACAATGGTGGATGTGTCACCGAATTTCGTGGATTAGTTGAAGTTAGACATTAACACCGTTGGATGCCGGCCAGCTTAGTGGTCTAGTGGTTAAGCGTTTGCACGCGAGACTGAAGACCGTGGGTTTGAATCCCGAGAGCGGGATTGTGGATGCGCACTGCTGAGGAGTCCTGCAATGGGACGAAACGGTCGTCCAGTGCTTCCAGGTTTTGCATGTTGGTCTAGCTTCAATTGACCCACGATCTGAATTATTGAAATAAATAATAAATACTTGACATTCGTCAGTAAGGTATACCTGTAATCTTGAGAAAACGGATGCTAACCGACGAATTCGATCCTGTGTCACCTAGTTTCGTAGTCAGAGACGTTACCACTGATCCGCGACTAACCTCCTATAAAACTGAGATGTATTTACAATTGATTAATTTCACTTTCCTATAATTAATTAATATTATTCAAAATGAAAGATTCATTATATAATACTGAAATATATTATATCTTATATTTCTTTATATTTTAGGTTCATGCAAATTTAACCCATATTGATGAACGATTTTCACCTTATACACAATTTCGATTAGGTACACATTTTAATTATCCTATAACTTATAAAAATCAATGTCATCAACTTAATAATGGTTTAATTGATAATCATGATGAATTTGGTGGTTCACCTGATATATCTATTTTAACATTGAATAAAAAATTTAATCTTATTAAAGGATGGATTGAAATTGGATCATTAAATTATAATTATTCTATAAATAATATAAGTGAAAAAAATGATGATTTTTTTGTATTAGGTTTTGGTGAAGATAAATCAATTGAAAATTCAATGGGTCAATTACGTTTAGGTAAGTAAGTAGTTCTCTCTTTCTTTCTTTTTCCCTTTCTTTTTTTCTCTCTGTTATATCTGGTCGTCGTTGATCATTGTACCGGAAAAACACTGATCACTTATACTCGGAACGATGGACCTCTGCAATTCCCACGATTAGAAAGTAAGAACACAAAGACTGGTATAAGTGAAGATTTACTGACCCCAAAACACGACGACGACGACGACTCTAGTAGAAAATATACTCATTTATATATTGATTGTATACACACTTTAATTAATAATTAGAATAAAGTCACATATATGAAAAATATTTAGAGTTATAACAAATCACATACTGAGCAGAGTTCAGGTCAATGGAATACAAGAATATAGTATATCATAAAAGAAAGCAAATACTACATTGAGTAATCACTACATCGAATTATAACGGAAGTAATGTTGAACAAAACTCATAATAAGTAAATCAATCTATTCTTGACTTTTCTTTCTCTCTCTCGCTCTTCCTCTCTTATATATACATATATAATTATGTATTATTCTACTTATAGGTATATTAAAATTAGATGAATGTCCAAAACATATTAAAATACCAACTAATGGAGCGATTTGTTCTAATATTAATCGTAATCATCAAGGACCAGATATTGGTGATAGTGGAGGTCCTATATTTGATATAAATGGACGTGTTATTGGTATTACATCAATAGCTGGAAATGGTTGGTATGTATTTTCAAGTGTTACTACACACAAAACATTTATTCAACAACATTTATATAATGATACTAATAATTCAACTAGTGGTGATAATAATAGTATGAACTATTTTAATTCAACAGATCTTTCATAATTTTCTTGCTCTTCTGAAGTGTTGACATTTTCTTTTAATAAAAATCTTTTTTTTTCCGAGTATATGATGTAAGTAAATAGTTCATTATGATATAAATACAATACTTTTGTGTATTGAAATTAAAACAAAATCTTATGAAAAATAATCTGGTATATATTCTATTAATTTTTGTAGACTATTTTGTTAAGTTAAATGCTTACTTACTTATGCCTGTTAACCCTCGTGAAAGAGCATAAACCGCCTACCCGGATTCTCTCATTGAAATTTTCAGTTGTTTTGATGTCTGATTTCATTTCTTGACTCAATGTGTAACTTAGTCTTCCTCTTCTCCTTCCCTCTCCCTTAAGGATTCCGAGTTAGGGGTTGCCTCGGGTTGCAGTTTGCTGATTTCCACAATGTATGTGCTATGCAACTGAAACGTCTTTTCTTAATTTCCACTTCAGCTGGAAGCTTTTAATATTTTCATTTTGATGTCTGTTGGTTAATCCTTAACTATTAAGGTTTAAACAATAAGATCATAGGAATTTTGAGAACTTGAGATATTTATAGGCTGAATTCGTTACAGATATATCATAGGTGGAGTTCTGTTGAAAACCATGTGGTACTACTTAGATTTTTTGATCTTGTATGGGATTCCTCGGCAGCGAGCACACAAATACCTGTCATTGTAGATTGAACGTAGAAAAATGAATTCTTGAGGTGAGTCCTTAACTTCTAGAATCCTGAAAAGTCTCATACTAAGACAAAACAGATGTTCAGTATTCGTGGATCTCAATGGTTGTCTAAGTAGTATTGACTCGTGATCATTCTGTTTATTCACTACGATTCATAATTCACATCACAATCTTTACATGGTATAATTAATGAAGAATTTAGTCTGGTTCATGATCAAGTTCATTTTCAGCCATCCATATTAAATTTTGAAGGTATGTCATTAATTAATCAACATACAAGTTTTACTATTTAATTACTTAATGATGCCAGGAAAATGGTTAAAGCAGGTGATCGAACTCTTTGAAAATAGGTGTATAAATTCACCTCCAGATCGAATATTAAAAATATGAATGCTGCTTTACAAACATTGTATCAAATACTATAAAATCAGCTTTTCAGATTATTAACTAAGCCCATCTAATTAACAGTCTAGTAGGACAACAACTCATGGACGACCTTCAGCGACGCCGTGATGTTTGAAAAATTCACCTTTTCAGTAGGATCTAAAGAAGACCATAAATTAGTTTAAGAAGTCAGAATCGGGATTTAGAGTTAGAAGTTAGGTTTGTAGATTAGAGTTGGGGGTTTTCATCACGAACTAACATTGGCTATAATCACAAAATACTACTTAGGTTTGAGGATAAACTCCACATTGTGAAGTCATCTAAGTGTATCGTAGTCAGTAATTACGGTTGTGTTTTCATTTATTCAGTCACTCAATTATCGATATTTTAGAATAATTTCTATTATAAAATTAATTGGAGGCATGACCTTTGCTATTTTGTAATTTTTCTTATGTCATGACTGATCGTTGTTGCTACCTTGACGTGGTGGTCGGGCTTGCCTATCGTGATGAAGCAACTGAGCTATACTGGCTGGAACAACCGTTCCTCAAGGTCCTACCATGCCAGACAGGTCGGTTGAAGAGCGGCAAGATTAAAAGCAACAAATCCAAGGTCCGAAGACGAAGTCGTACTGCTGACTGTACAGAGGTGTGACAGCAGTAAGGTGTTTCCTTCAGACAACCAGCATAACAGCGATGCTACCTTCCCAAAAGGAGGGGAGGGCTTAGAAAAGGTCGACCCTAAAAATGCACACCTCGCCTTATCCCACGGATATCCGTCTCCGGCGGTAAGGTCTCAACAAGTACGGAGCTAACACAAAAATTACTCATAAAAAGGTCGTGTGTGACCGACATCAAGCAGCTGTCCCTTGGGCACTGCCGTCACGCTCTCAGGTCACTATGACCACCTCTAATCAAATTTCCTTTTCAGGTACCTCCAGCAGAACCCTTCCACGGTGTGGGCAACCGGGAAGTGGTAACCGCCCTCATACCTCTAACAGCACTCAAGACCACTGTATTCATAATCAACCTACCTCTTCAATTCCTATTAATCTTCTTACATCGACTTTCAAATCTAAACTCCCTCTTTCGGCTTCCTCCTCAAGTGTCACCACAGCCAACGATTCTAGTGCGCAAAACACTGTCCCAGGTCTACTGAAACCCCGCTCCAAACTACACATTGGAGCCCTCAACGTACGCACACTATGCCAAATCGGTCAGCAGGCTTCCTTGGCTAAAACCTTAGAATCTCGTACCATTGATGTATGCTGTGTCTTCGAAACACGCATACAGGATCCTAGTGTGGTCATTCACTTGACCTCACCTCGGCAAAACGGAGAGCCGACGAGATACACCCTCCGTGTATCTGGCGACCCGATGGCTAGTTCTCGTGGACTTGCAGGTGTAGGCATAGCACTAAGCATGAGGGCGGAACAAGCGCTATTAGAGTGGATCCCCGTTAATAGTCGTCTATGCGCTGTTCGGCTAAACGGCTCCGTAAGGACTCGGAAGGATAGGGACACACGTCGTTGCCTTTTCGTCGTTTCTGCCTACGCTCCCACTGACTGCAGTTCGGATGAAGTGAAAGATGAATTTTACAGAAAACTCTCTGAACTTCTTCAGAAAGCTAAACGTTCAGACATAGTACTCGTAGCAAGTGAATTTAATGCCCAGGTAAATAGCTTAAACGAAACAGAAAGACATTTGGGTGGGTATTTTAGTATTCCGGCACAGAGAACAGATAATGGTGATCGTCTGCTGCAACTTTGCTCAGACAATCGTTTATTTTTAGCAAACACAAATTTTAAGCATAAGGAGAGACATCGTCTAACACGGCAACCCCGTGCATCGAATCAACGATGGACTCAAATAGACCATATTGCCATCAGTCATCGTTGGAGAGGGTCAATAGAAGATTGTCGCTCATTCTGGAGTACCTGTTTGGACTCCAATCATGACCTAATACGAGCACGCATCTGCTTGCGCCTCACTGGACGCAAAAAAGCAACATTAAAACGACCCATTAGAACTGAACTTAGTAATGAGAAAACCAATCGTAGGTTCCAAGAACAACTGAGGTCACACTTAGGTAGTTCTGAAAACGAGGCTGACCCAGAAGTTGCTTGGAAAGATATACAAGCAGCTGTGGAAACAGCAGTGACATCAACTAGTGATTTAAACCACAGGGTTACAAAGAACCAATGGATTTCTTCAAGGTCTATTGCACTGATGGATTCTCGCAAACTCATCCCATCAGGTTCTGAACACGATGAAGAGCGCAAACAAATCAGATCTAGGTTAAGCAAAAGTCTAAGGAACGACTGTGAGCAGTGGTGGGCAACGAAAGCAAAAGAGATGGAAAAGGCGGCGGCTATAGGGAATACAAGACAACTCTACAGACTAATAAAAGAAACTGGAATTAATAAATCAAGTGTAAGTCAGACTATTTCGGAAAAAGACGACACTCTCATCTGCTCCCAGTCCAGACGTTTAGAACGATGGGCGGAACATTTTAAGGAGCAGTTCAGTTGGCCTTCAGCTACTCTACAACTACCCTCTATTCCCAGACAGTGTGAACGGAAAACTGAAGTAAGTCCCCCAAATCTAGCTGAAGTTCGAAATGCTTTAGGTAATCTGAAACGAGGAAGAGCAGCTGGTCCAGATGGATTGGCTCCAGAGGTCTTTAAGGATGGTGGTCTAGTTTTAGTGACTAGGTTGACTAATATTTTAGCTAAAATCTGGGAGTTAGACGTTATCCCATCTAACTGGTCACAATCACTTATTGTCCCAATATATAAGAAAGGGTCAAAATCATCCTGTGACAACCATAACGGGATTAATCTGACTAATATAGTATCTAAAATACTAACCTCGATAATTATCGGACGCCTAACTAAGACTCGTGAACTGCAAACACGTGAAAATCAGGCTGGCTTCAGACCTGGTCGTGGCTGCATCAACCACATATTCACCATTCGTCAGGTTCTAGAACACAGGCATACGTATCGGCGTCCGACAATAGTGGTCTTCCTTAATTTAAAAGCAGCGTTTGACTCTGTAGACCGAGAGGTTCTGTGGCAGTGTCTGTCATCGAAAGGCGTACCTCAGAAGTACATAAACCTTGTGAAGGCTCTTTACTGGAACACTACTAGTCGAGTCAGAGCATATGGCGAACTGTCATCTGCTTTTGCAACGTCAAGTGGTTACCGTCAAGGCTGTCCACTTTCTCCATTTTTGTTTAACTTCATCATAGATCTACTGATGGAAATAACGCTCTCATCGACTGAATTTTCGGGAATCGATGTCCTACCAGGAGGTCCACTTATCGACTTAGAATACACAGATGACAGTCCTGTTTGGTGAAGACGCTGATGAAATGCATAGTCTTTTGGTAGCACTGAGCAACAATGCCAGAATGTTTGGGATGTGCTTCTATCCCTCTAAATGCACGGATTCGAAAAGCTCGGTTGGCCTTTGCCAGCTTACGTCATCTATGGAGAAGGCGAGATATCCGTCTATCAATTAAGGGATGAGTATACTAAGCTCAGAGAACAAAACTCCATCAAAATCATCCACCTGAGCTACAAATCTTCTTCACCATCCCACTGAAACTATTTATTTGATACAATATATACTATTGAAGTAATATGAAATAAAACACGGATTTTAGAGGAAAAGATGATCAGAGGACAAAACTGGATTAAATTAACATATATTGACATCTATCACTCTCATGTACAGCATAGCATACTTGGTAAATAAATGAGTTTACTAAAATGAGTGCTAAATTTTATTGTTTATATTACCTGAATCGACTTAGAACACTGAAATATAATCAATTGTAGTTAGATTATTATTTGAACTGAAATTATCACTTAAACTAGTTATCATGACGAACTGAAAACATTCATAAAAATTACTGAAAAAAAAACAGTGAGCGTGGAATCACCGTTTCTTCTGATTCCCGAACAGTGTATACTGTTTAGTATGCACATATAACCCCATATACAATTAAACTTAGGACAAAAACGATTAAAATGTTGTGAACAACCCATTGCGTTGAAGGTGCTCAATGAGTTCCTGAAGTATAACGTAAAGTTCACTGAAACGAAAACTACATTT